CACACTTCTAATAATATGTCATTATCAACTTCTGACAAGTAGTTAAGAAGTTATGAGGGAACAGATGAACATATATACATTCACATACATATATACATACATAGCCTGTTAAAATCTCTCCTTCCTTTTGCTTTGCCGTAGTCGGGTAAAAATTAATGCTTACTAATATGGCATCTTTCTAACTTCGAACTTGGACAAGGATTGATCGCAGAAAACTTTACACAGAAGAATGCAGTGTGATCGTAACTGAAAATAAATAAATTTAATTATATAAATAATAAAGTATGATACCAATTCAACGCAAAAATCACAACACCTAACCTCACACAAGATTCATACTAAAAGTACTGAAATTCAATATTTTGAAAAATATTTTCTTATTGGGACAAGCCCGCCACAACCTCCCAAATCCGCTGCAACTCCTGTAAGCCAGGATCTACAGTAGATACAACCATGCAAACACCGGAACACTGAAGTCCGGCGCGTCCCAGGGACATGAACAACTGTCTTGGTTCCCGCAACGAAATAAATCAGAAGATATTACTCGACTGCCTCGTTGACTGAGTGGTCGCAAGTGCGACTGCCGGGCAAGAGGTCTCGGTTTCGATTCCCGGATCGGGCAACGTATTAGTGGTTTCTTTTTAATTCTCAGTAGTAGCACGGAATCTGGAATTGTGTTCGGTATATGGCACTAGGTTCACTCCCTATTACATGGGACTCTGACATGTATAGTAAAAAGTGGATGTTGCATTGTACAGTGGCATTAAGTACACCTTCGCCTACCCCTTATAAGATAAATGGCGTGAATAATGTTATGTTATATTATAAGAAGAGAAGAAAAAACAATGAAAAAGATATTGGATTATACTAGTTGAAAACTACGCTATCTTTAACTGTACAATACTAAACGTAACAATGTATATTAATAGACACCGCTGCTTTTGCCGCCAGTTTTCAGCAACGAAGCCTTCAGTCACCTTCAGCGCGCCAAGGAGACCGCACGTCGCGTCTCGGGAAAATTCGATACAATATTTACGTGAAATCATAGCTTTGTAATATTGAACTTGTAGGTATTATAAGTTGAAAGAACGTAAAGATAATTAGTGAAACGTGGAATAATAGTCTTTTGAAAAAGGGTGAGTATATTAATTTATTTTATATAAGTAGATTTGAATTAACCACCCATCATTTATTCAAATAAAAGTTTAAATAAAATTAAAACTAAGTATGACTAAATTAAATATATACACATTTCAGATTAACATTATTTAAAAGAAAAATAAAATTAAGAATTTACATAAAGCATCGAAAAATTCGTCCGCATCGACGAATCAAAAAAAGTAGATTTAGATTTTTCTATAATTTCTCAGTAAAAGCCATGAAGTTTGGATTTGTTCTGTTGATGTATTTTTTATGATATAAGCCGGTAAACGAGCAGACGTATCACCTGATGGTAAGCAATCGGCGTCGCCCATGGACACTCGGAACATTAGAGGCGTTATAATCACAAATAAATGTTTCATTTCATTTCATTTCATTTCATTTCATTTCATTTCATTTCATATAAGTGCGTTACTGGCCTTTTAGGGATTAGGTTTGTTGGGATTCAGGGATTGGGGTGACTAGGTGGAATTGTGCCTCCGGTAACCTCACTCACACGACGAAACACAACGCAAGCGTTGTTTCATGTCGGTTTTCTGCTCGGCCGTGGTATCACTCCGGTCGAGCCGGCCCATTCGTATCGAAACATTCCCACACTTACATCTTAGGGCCAATTTTTCAATCATCAGTTAATTCATCAATCATTCAATGTCTCTGAGTAGCGCCGGTTTCACCACCTCTATATAATGTCTAACAAAAATAGTTCACAATATTTTAACAGGTGAAATAGTACATGATAAGGATTATGTTTACCTAAAAAAAAATGTAAACAACAACATGTTTAATTAAATTTATCATCACATTTGCAAAATTGTTGTGTTTTTACGCATAACGCCAGCCGTATGGATGCGCGCGGACGTTTATCTTACGGGTCAACGACCGAGCTTTTCGAATAGGTACATAGGAATAGGTACATATTGCAGGATGGCATAAAAAGCAATGAAAATAATAAATGAATAATTGAATTATTAAAAATAATTGATAAGTTTTTATAAAATATTTTCATAAAAAAATGATGTTTATCACATACTAATTGACCTACTAAAATATTGTGCACTATTTTTGTTACACCTTATATA